CATCAATTGACAAATTGACTTTTTTATTTCAAAACTTATTGGAAAGTAAGTGATTTTGTGTTCAAGTATCACGTTTTTCTTTTTTATCGACTTCTTCGTTACTTGCTGACCACTCTCTCACACACACACCCGCACTCAAGCAATCATAACTTTATTAGCCTTAGAAAGAAATTTTTTTGATTAACACCAAAAACCAGATGGCGACCATCCACACTGTCAGGGAAATCTGTTGCTTTTTTGTTTGCACTCAAAAAATATTCAAATTTAATTTATGGAGGCACACCAAAAAGGGAATCTCAAAACTCTTCTTTAGAGTTATTTTTTTAGTTTCTAAATCAATTTCAAACTTGATGATGTCCTTTTTTAAATGAATAGTTAATACCAGACGAGAAATCAAAGACGACCGTTAACTTGGCCAACAGATGTTGGAATGTTGAAGTTATCCTGCAAACAAGTCCTTTTATACAACGGTTACAAGTAAAAGCTTCCTATAGTAGACCAACACATACACACACTCACACAATTGTATAAAATTTTATGAATGAAATCAACACTTGTTGCCATTCTTGGCACATAATTTCCCAAACCCACCATCAATCAACAACACCCACAACAATCCAAAAGAACAAAATCCACCTGGGTTTAAAACTTGACTAAGCATATTTAGTTATATTTTCATCATCCACTAAAATAAGCTTTACAAACAAAGGAGCTTTAATATTTCTTTAGTGATGCCATATTTTCATATTCTTCTTCTTTTGGGCACACAGCCATTTTCCCCCAGATTCACTTAACACTAATACCCACTTCCAGCGGCACAGCAGCCCTCATTTGATTGTGCGGTGTCAAAAGGTTTTGTACATTTCTTGGATGATGTACATCTCCACGATCGTAGTAGCCACCATAATGCTCACCGGGTACATGATAGAGTCCATAGTGAAGGCCACTGTTGGCCACCTGCAATTGTACAAAAATGTCAAGAACTTTACTTGTTGTAGATAATAATACTATTTTCTTTATTTGTTCACTTACTCGTTTCAGGCCATTTATCGAGGCCAGGAGTAATGCCATTTTTGCCAAAAGTAAAGCTTTACCGCTCACAACGGATAGTAGTTGGAAGCCCATGGGCACGAGTACAGCTCCAAATGCGGTGACGCCAAACATCATGGTCAACATCATATTGTAACGATGACGACGATGTCTTGCCGTACCAACGGGATCTGATGAATTGGAACTGGAGAGGTATTCTGAAATGTAAAGGTATGTATGTCAAAATTTAAATATTATACTTTTAAAATAATTAGGTATTTGTATCAAAATAGTAGGACAGATTGTCCTTACATTCCACTTTATAGGTGACCAAAGAGGAGTTGGTTTGAGTCGTCGTATGCCATGGTGTACAATGAATCATCTGAATCATGATCCATGCCTTGTCATCTGTTATGACCTTTCTTGAACTGTTATCAAATTGTTTGGGTCCCGCGAGAACCAGTTTATTCAGGACGTTTTGTAGTTCATAATGTATTTATATACCCTTCACCACACTGTGGTACAGGGTATTATGTCTTGGTGCATATGTTTGTAACAGGCAAAAGGAATCGAGGTAGACCCATGGTTCTTTTTGAGAATATGTATAGAATCATTTTCTGAGTCGATTTATGCATGTCCGTCCATGTATGTTTGTGAACAAAGTACAGGTCGCATTTATGATCCGATTTGAATGAAATTTGGCACATATCACTAATTTGGCCCAATTTGGGAAAATCGGATCAGATTTAGATATAGCTCACATATATAGTTTTGTCCGATTTTATGTAAATAGTGCACCAAACTTCCAATATTGGTCCGATTGAGACACAATTTTGCACAGAGCACAGGTCCAGATTGATGTCTGCGAAGTTTTGTTAAAATCGGTTCAGATTTAGATATAGCTCCTATGTATAGTTTCGTCCGATTTTTTGTGAATGATGCACCAAACTCCGAATAATTGTCCGATTGAGACAACATTTTGCACAGGGTATTGAATTAGGTCCAAATTGATGTCTGCGATGTTTTGTTAAAATTGGTTCATATTTAGATATATCTCTCATATAATTTCGTCCGATTTTTTGTGAATGATACACCAAACTCCCAATATTTGTCCGATTGAGACAAAATTTTGCACAGAGTACTGAAATAGGTCCACACTGATGTCTGCGAAGTTTTGTTGGAATCGGTGCAGATTTAGATATAGCTCCCATATATAGTTTCGTCCGATTTTATGTAAATGGGGCACCAAAGAGTCAAATTTAGGCCCATTGGCACAAAATTTTGCTCAGGGTACTGAATTAGATACAAATTTATGTAATATTAGGTTGTACAAATTTGAGCTCAAGTCGGATAGTATGTTCTGAAGAAGAAGTAGATCGATTGGCTACACCTTCAAACTTGATTTAAGATATTTTGTATGAAATCGAGCATTCCAATCCATTGTTACTTGATTTAACAAATTTTGAAATTTTTTCCTTTGTGGGGAGACACCAGAAGGAGTGAATCGATGGAATACATCTTCGGATTCGATATTGGCTTGGTAAAGCATTTACTATGTGCAAAGTTGGAATGAAATTCGGATATTCCGTTCCGTTTTCAAAATGTTGACCCATTGTTGGGTAGCTACTAGGGGCAGTGAACCGATAAGTCCCACCTTCAAGCATTATACAAGTTTGGTTATGCAAAATTTGGTTCAAATATGATGCTCTGTATGCTCGATATTATACAATTCATTTTCAACTCAGGAGTGGACTAGAAGGAATGAACTGTTTATCCCCACATTCGAACATGATTTAAGTTTGAAAGAAATATTACGATTTACCTAGTTTGGATCCAATCCATTAGTCTCATATTGGAGACTAATGGATTGTATGGGAGGTCTAGAATAAGTGGACCAATGGGTCCCATTGCATAATGCTGACCATTTATTTTGTGGAGGAGGTACCAGAACAAGTGGACCGATATTCTCCATTTTCGAACTTGATATACGTTTGGAAGCAATATTAATGTGTAGAGGGATGAAAACTGTTACTCCCTTCGTGTGCACCATCAGGCCATACAGACTGACGGACGGACATTTGTAAATCGACTTCAAATAGTCTGAAACGGATTTTGTCCAAGAAACATGGATAAAACCAATATTTCCATTAGGCCATAAGGCTGAGTTTTGGCCAGGAAAATCGATTCCGACGTAAGTTGTATGTTGCTCAAATGGAACAATCGCCACATGATCAGTTTTGCCGAAGAAACATACGACAATTTATTAGTTCATGTCCGGTATCAATGTTCTCTGACAATGAACGAGAGTCGGCTACGATTGAATTAATAGTCCTATAGGATGAAGCTTCATAGCCATAAAAATATAAGTTCATCGATGCACTCTTGTTCTGAAAATCCATGTCGAAGGTTGAGAAAAATGATCGAAAATGTTCGCTGTAAACAACTCATGGTAGTAAGCAGAACAGTACTGAGTTCGTTTAGGACGTTTCGAAGTTTGTAATAGAATTTACTATTTATATCCTACACAACAACGATGTAAGAGTATTATAGCTTTGTGTGGCCCCAGAAGTTTGTAACACCATGACGTCATAACTCGACTGTGTCGATATAGACATTTGTGCCCGTCCATTTATCCATTATAATTTGCATGTAGGACGGAAGAAGGCCCTATTCTTTTGACAATACTTAAATTTTGTCCCCTTTTCTGGTCACTGTAGAGACTGCTATTACAGACCCCGCGATTTTACACGAAGAAGGGGATCAGACCAAAGAATAAGAATGTCTGTTTTGGCTTTTGTGTGAAAACTGGCAAAAATTTTTATTCTATGGGGTATATATTTACTCCTGAAGAACATAGACCAGGGAAGGTAACTGTATATCCAAGATAAGTGATTGACCTTTTAATTGATATCAATTATATTATTGTATGCACTCGGATGTGGGAGTTACACATAAATATCTAGAGGGAACTATTCCGATATTATTTAGTATTACCATTACCACACTAGAAGGCGGATAAGTAGCGCTGATGGCTAGGAGATTCCAGTTATTATCAAGGACGACGCATGATGATATTATTGAGGTGATGAAGTGGATCGAAAACATGATTTTTGTCTGTTTTTCTAGTCGCTCGGAAAATTTCCAAAGGATGGGAATCTGATCAATTAAGTAGAATGTATTATCGGTTAATATTGAGCGGGTCAAATGAACCGAGACTAAAAGTTCAGTGGTAGTTGTTTAGAGCATAATGAATCCTAAAAATTCTTCTAAAAAGGCTCATAAGGATTTAAGATAGGTATTTTGACTGTAATTATATAGCTTAAATTATACATTTTATATAGCGATTTCATACATAAGTTAAAATACTGACTATTCGTACCAAATTTAGTAAGTTTGGTATATATTTTCAAAAACAAATTTTAAACCATATCCTAAATATTAATAGTTATCCCCCTACCAAAGTTAAAATTTCAAAATTCTTAATATACAATTTAAAACATTGTACAATTATAGTACGAAGTTCTATTCTTACTCCAACCCTGTGTATAACAAATTTGAAGATTGTAGATATATCCCTTCACATAATACCTGATATACTAGTTTTATATCAACTCTAAACACCACTAAATTTAGTACCAGTTATAATAGATATTCCCAAAACCACCTTCTGATTATTGTGCACTGTTACGCTAATACCTAATTCAAGAGCAGAGATGGCCGGTCAGAAACAGTGACGTAAATGACATACATTTCCGACGTATAATACATACGTCAGAAACGTCGGAAACCTACCCAAATCCATTTGGTTTTTGACAAAATAGCTATTTCTATTAATCAATTTGGAAATTACGCATGCTTTACTCAAATTAATATAAAATTTCAAAATTTTGTTCTGAAAAAAATTTAAAAATTTGCATCAGTTCTAGTAAGGAATAGTAAGATATATGTAAAAATAATATATATTCTTGAGAATAACTGTATATACTGATAATATAGAAATAAATGACGTTTACTACATTTATTACATTTTATACAGATATATGACGTTTTCGACGTTTACACCTTTTTGACAGTCGGAAACCTAAAAATTCGTCACATGGACCATCCCTGTTCAAGAGTTCCAGGTATATTTCTACCGTTCTAATGGCACTCAAATTTTCGGGCACTTTTGGTACGAATTTTCAAATTCTCCCTCATACCTCCACCGCACTCATCATTAAGGAATTCTATGGCAAAATATAAAGATTTTTCACATTATAATATTGTTCATAACATTTTGTATCAATTTCTAAAACATATTTGTACATGCAATAAACTTTTATCGTTTTCATAATTTCCGTAGCCAATACTGGTCGTAGTATAAATTAAAAAAAAAAAAATAAAGAATTCTCTAAAATTATTCCCCAAGTCAATTAAAGATACAAATTAAAATATAGTTATATTCCTACAGCTACGATTATTTATCTTATCCAGTACATAATCTGCAGTATTACTTACCATTTTCTTTCCGATACTCCATGTACGCATCCAACACCTCCTTTAAATCGATTTCCAATTTATGTGTCCACAACAGTCGAGTAAAACTTAGTGCCAAACGATCAAACCATGTCAGATATTGGGTATCCTTGCGTTTCCAAAATTCACTACTGCAAAAAACAAAAATAAAATCAAATTACTAATTTTTGAAATCAACAAAAAAGTCGTCATATTTGTTGACATATTTACTCATTATACAAATCATTTTGATGAACATCAGCATCATAATTAGATTTGGCTGATGGCGACGACAGACGTACAAATCGAACACCTCTCCAAACTGGCACCACATCTCGTGATGTGACGTCATCAAATAAATATAAACTTGTGACCTTCAGACATTGCCATGTTTTTGTTGTTGCCGTTGAATTTGATGACGACTGTTTCGAAATATGGGAATAAATATACGTATTTATGTATGTAGTATATTATTATTTAAAATAATCAGTATTATATTAATGTTGAAAAACAGCGGTGTGGTGTGATAATTTTGGGAGGTATGAGTTCCCGCATTAATGCGGAATTTTTAATTTAAAGGACTTCGGACAAGTGAAATCCATTGGGCTTAAACGAAGTCAACATATCCGAAAAATTTTATGCTACGAGTATACGTAGCATAAAAACAGTGAAATACTGTGTAATTTGTTCTACAATTTGTTTTTCTGAGTTCCATCTCTATTCCTACATCTATTATCAAATTTATTACCATTTAGTACTCTTCATAAACATAAGTACTATTTTCTGAAATCTCCTTCTTATTTTTTTAGCTCTCTCCGTTACCCAAAACAAAATTGTTCCAAATTTAGTGAATTTTCTAGTATATTTACTATTCGTACAAATCTCAGGATACCAGCTCTATCCATTCACCCAAATCCAAATTGTACCAAATTTTGTACCATTTAGTACTTTTCATACTCAAATTTCTATAACTACACCAATTCTACAATCTAACAGTAATCTTAATTCCACCGAAGTGCAAATTGTACCAAATTTAGTACTTTTCGTACTCATAAGTACGAATTTAAAAAATTACCTCAATCTTGCTTTCAAAGTAAGACAAACTTTAAGAATTCCAGCTCTATCTGTTCACCAAAAACCAAATTTTACCAGATTTGGTACCATTCTGTAAAATACTTTTCGTACAAATATTCCAAACCTATTTCAATCCTACACTCCCACAGCAACCTTAGTTGCAACTTTCAGGATTTCAGTTCTACCCGTTCATCAAAGACCAAATTGTACCAATTTTAGTGATTTTCGTACACAGTACGATTTTTCATCATACATTTCAGGATCTTAGCCCACAGATCCGTTAGATTCGTTCACATAGACCTCACACACTCACTCAAATCAATCTCAACTTGTACTAAACTCAGTACCATTTTGTACACATAATTACGCATTTTCAAAACTACCTCCATGTCTCAATCCTAAACTCCAAATTTTAATTCCAAATTGTGGGATTCCCCCTCACACAAAACGAATTTTACCATATTTAGTACCATTTAGTGCTTCTCGTATCCATAAGTACGAAATTCCAATACTACCTTAATCCTGTAATTTTCATTCCCAATTTTATTTTTCCATCTCTATTCGTTCACTGAAATCTAAATTGTATCAAATTTAGTACCATTTGGTACACATAATTATGAATTTTCAAAACTACCGACATACTTCAATACTGCACTCCAACTGTAATTTTAATTAAAAATTTCAGGATCTCTGCCCTATCCGTTCACACAAAAAAAATCTTAAACTATTTGGTACCATGTAGTAATTTTTATTTCTATAATTGAGAATTTTCTAAACTACCGCAATCCTGCACTCCAACAGTAAATTTTAATTCCAAAATTCTGGAGTCCCACTCTATCCGTTCACATATAATCTAGTTGTACCAAATATAGTATCATTTAGTAAACATAAGTACGATGCTTCCATATATCAATTCTATATTCCAACAGCAACCATTACTCCAAATTTTTGATTTCTAGCTCTCTCGGTTCACCCAAATCCAAATTGTACCAAATCTACTGCCGTTTAGTACTATTCATACACATAAATACGAATTTCCAAAGATGTGCCATTTAGACTTTCTATGAATTTCCAAAAATCCTTTTGCACATCTTTCTAACTTTCCATCAGGGATCCACATTCCAAATTTCAGAATTTTAGCTCTTCCCGTTCGTCTAATACAAATATCTCACGCCTACACACCAACAACAACCCACACTCATCTGTAATATCAATTTAAAGGTAAACCACTACTCTTGAATATAATATCAACTTCTCGGGTCGATGTCCTTCAGGAGTAAAGACATACGCCCCAGAATAAAAATATTGTCATTTTTCACACAAAAGTCATACCTTGATACCCTTCTCCGTGCAAAATTTTGTAATGTTCGGATCCTTATTATGGCCTGTAGAGCGACCAGGGATGGCCCGTGTGACGAATTTTTAGGTTTTCGACTGTAAAAAAGTTGTAAACGTCGAAAACGTCATATACCTGTATAAAATGTAATAAATGTAGTAAACGTCATTTATTTCAATATTATCAGAATATACAGCTATTTTCAAAAATATATATTATTTTTACATATATCTGACTATTTCTTACTAGAACTGATAAAAATTTCTACATTTTTTTGAGAAGAACATTTTGAATTTTTATATTAATTTGAGTAAAGCATGCGTACTTTCCAAATTGATTAATGGAAATAGCTATTTTGTCAAAAACCTAATGGATTTGGGTAGGTTTCCGACGTTTCTGACGTATGTATTATACGTCGGAAATGTATGTCATTTATGTCACTATTTCTAAAAGGCCATCTCTGAGAGCGACCAGAAAACAGAAAAAAACAAAGTTTTTGGAATCCACCCTACATGCAAAATGCCGGTGCTTCCATTGGAAATCCTACATTTTCTGTTTTACTTCGATCCATTTTTTGAAGCAAAGACATTCCATATAAACAAACTTTAAAAACTTTAAAAAAACTTTAATAGCGCAAAAATGTTAAGGAAATTTAAAAGAATCAATCAAAATTGTTATATATTATCCTGTTAAGGATATCAAGTTTGTTGTCATTGTCATTTTTACTAGTTTCCCCTTCTAAAACTGTTTAAGTATTTTTTGTACTATCAAAGCGATTTTTTTCTCTCGCGGGAATAATCGTATTTTAATTATATACTACTAATTTTCAACATTTGCTTATTGTTACTTTGACACTAATCGATTTGATGCAAATTGAAATTATTTCACTATCACTCATATCCAAATTATCACACCACACTCATTTTATTTTTTAATAAACGAAAATCATACATTTTCACATTCCTTAATTAGATGACGCAAAATTCTCAATTGTTGTAATCCAGAAAATTGAGAATTGGTGGTGGTGCGGTTGTTATTTCCATATGGCTGGTTTGTTGGGGGCAGAGGCGATGCTGATGTTTGACACAAAATTGTTAATACCACAAATGAAATGAAAATATATTCCAAAATATTCCCGCAACGCAACATAATGTCCTTTTTCATTTTATTTTTGAATTTAATTTATAATCACAAAACTTTTTTCATATGTTTCAAAAAAATCCGATATTTCCGTAATGTATTTATTTGTCCGTAATTTGTTTAATATTCACGTTGAACTCCCACTGAAAGTTCTTCTCGGCAAGTATGACCATTTTATACTTGCATAGAGTTCTGCTTGAAATACTCTGAACTCGACCGCCCATAGTTAATGAAAGGCTAGCAGCTAGTGCTTTCTTTAGATGTTTTAAACTCCAGCTACCAACCGTTCGGTCAGTGGGTTCAATATTATTCGGCTCTAAACATGGTTCTACTTGAATGACGCCAGTATTTTTGCAGATACATTGGAGCATTGAAATAAAAAGCGCAATGATATTAAGCTATCGTCGAATCAAAAGTGAAAGAAAAAGTACATTGTTTCTTTATACGCTCGATGACAAATATGTTCACCCATTGATCTGAAAATAATAATAACAATAGATGATTGCAGAGCTGTTATACCACTTATTTTTTGATTCTATGTAAGGAGGTATTAATATTCAGGTTTTCGATATTTATAAATAGTTATTATGTTTAAAAGAAAGCTCTAATGTTAAGATTTTTTTCGGAATCAGGCGAAAGGTTGGTTGGATTTTGTACAATAACAATTGTCAACTTTGCACTTGAATTCAACATGAATACAATGTATGAATGTTCTCATTTTGGTGTAATGCAACTATGTATATAACTATACTAGCAAAACCCGTGGCGCTTCGCTGCCCCTACTTAAGTGATTAATATAGGATAGTTCACGTAGAAAACTATTTGTATGCAGTTTAAAAGCTACTAATTAATAATATATGAACCTTCTGCTAAACTTACTGCAATATGAGGCTGAAAATGGTTCACTATTTATTGATAGGCAAGATATAGGTATTCTGGTAGCCACAAATTCAAACATTACAGTCCAACTTTATGTATTTCGTAGTATAATATCATTAATAATATTAAGGCAGCTGATTAATATTTTAGTATATTTTATTCGATTTAATAGATAAGAAATACATTTTGAAATTGAAATACATTCGTTAATTGCTTCATTGCAAAAAAGGGTTTCAAAAGAATGAATTATATTTTATAATGGAGTGCAGGCCATTATTAAATCAGAATTACCTTCCGCAGTAACATTCGTAGTTCCTCTCTCATTTTAAATTTATGTTTAAATCCATATTCGAGAAATTCAAAGTATGTTTTCTACAATTTCGGAGAAGAGGTCTGCTACTTTATGCAGAATTTACATTCATAATTTGAAAAATGTTGGGTTGAGCGGCATGATTGCGTACAAATATTTAACGAATCTATAGAAAATATAATACAATCGTTGGAAGAAATAATTTATATCTGCGTTTGGCATTCCTGCAAAATTAATTCGGCTATGCAGGATACACAAGATCAGCAGTTAAAGTAGGAAAGGACCTCTCGGAGCCATTTAATACCGAAAGAGGATTCAGAAAAGGTGACAGTCTGTCGTGTGACCTTTTTAACATCTTGCTGGAAAAGGTCATACGAGAGGCAAAGGTGAACAGAAATTGCACTTTTTACACCAAACAACACATGTTACTCGCCTACACCGATAACATCGAAATAATGTGTCGAACATTGAGCGGTAACAGCCACTTTTGAACAAATCTGAAGCATGAATGAACCATGAGCTGTACCAGACATTCTCGGACATCGACATTGTTAGACGTATTGAGCTGCAGCGACTACGTTGGCTAGTTCATGTTGTGAGAATGGGTGAATATTCCCAGCCCAAAAGGCATATAAATAAGATGGAAAGATCAAGTGGAAGACAACATTGCCGAATATGATCTTTCAAACTGAAAAAACTGCGCAAAAGGCCGAAGTGTTGCGAAATCTTTTTAAGCTCGAAACGAAAGTTCTGTCACAAGCCAGCAAATTAAGGAAGAAATAAGGAAAATTCTAAAATTTAATTCGGATTTATTTCTAATAATAATAGATATTAGATTTTTGTTAGCCTTCATCCCTTAGTAACATATAATAAATTAATATCTACAGAAGTAACAGTAATTTTATTTTTACCAAATACAGGAAAAATAAATTTCAGATTATTTAATATTTTTTTTCCTTATTACTAAAAAGAGGATCAGTTCCTTTCAATTTTTGACTTCCTAATGTAATAGAAGCATTACTGCATTTATTTTAATAAGTTGACAAAAAATTCCTTCATTAATATTAGGTTGAGGAAAAATATATCCATTATTTTTATATGAACTATAGGACTTTATTTAACATGCTTCGGAATGTCCGATTTGGACCAAATAGACACCGTTTTGTTGTATGATTTGTTGCCATTTTGAAGGCATTTCTCGATAATTTCCCCGATTTTGTTGACATTCTCTACGACTGGCCTGTGCGAGGTGCATCTTTAACATCAAAAGTTCCTGAACGGAATCTACGAAACCAAAATTGCACATAATTGCCTGTTACAATAAATGGAACCATTCACAATTCTGGCAGCTTGCATTTTCGCTTTGTCAAAGAAAAACTGTAAAATGTACCGAATTTTCTCTTTGTTCACTTCCATTTTCAACACCCTGTAACTCGCAACTAACAGCAAAATATTTTTTTTGCGAAATGATGCCCTTTCAACGAGCATAAATCTGAAATTGTTTGATCGATACTTTACAAGAAATCTCCACAGCCATCTGCCGAAAAAATAATGGATTTCTTTGTGAATTTCTAATATTGTGAACCTCATGGTGGAGGGTATAAAAAGTTCGTCCGGGTATAAAAAGGAACCATTTTTGGTACATTATATAAGACCCAAAGTTTTAGAACCTTCAGCAGTGTGATCCCAAAAATGCAAAAAACACAAACACAAGTAAAAAGGTTCAGTCGATGTTGCCGACAGCCTATAGTGTTAAGTACTCAATTGTTTTATATTTTGCTATATAAGGTATATGTTTTTATGAAAGAGTTGACCATCTGTAGTCAGGTACCAGAGGAAGTTGACTTATAGACTTCATATTCGAAGTTAATCTAGATTTGGTAAAAATATTATAAATATTGCAATGTTTGGATCAAAAAAGACATTGCATTGGTTTGATATGTAAACTGTGAGCTACCCACTAAGCTGTGCCGCCTGTAGGCCAAAACTGGGCGGCGACACAGGAGATGTTCAATTGTCTCCGTCTCCTCCTTGATGTTACAGGATTTGATGGCTTTAGGAGCAGTGTTTCCGTTTGAAAATTTTATTTCCGCCCAAAATTCCCCCTAAAAAGTGCCCAAAATCAACAATTTATGCCCAAAAATTTAAGCGTTAAAGAAAAGATACAAATATTAAAAGCGAGGGTCCTTTTTGTTCTATATTTTTTTAAATGCTGAAAAGTACACTGTTTTGCAGCATGGAAGTATGGAAAAATTGATTTTTAGTTTTTTGATGTATGTGATTTAAAAATTTGTACTTTGTTGATGCAAAATTCCCTAATCGAAATATTCGTTTAGACTCCATGTGTCTTTGGACCAAATCCGATTCGACAATTTGGAGTCCATTTACAAATGATCCTCTCTCTGTCTGTCTGGATGACTGGTGCGCACGATATCTTTCGAAAGAGGTAACATATTTCATCCAAACTTAGCACATGTTAATGTTTAAATCAAGATCGGAGATGGAGAACATCGAACCACTCCTTCCAGCACCTCCCCACAAAGCGTCGAAATTTTTATTTTTTTTTTTCATCCAATATCAGTTGAACGGAATGTCTGATTCAATCTTTCCACCTACTTTTACCAAAACTATATCAAGTTCGAAAATGGGAACCCACGGGTCAATGTTTCAGGGTCATTGATTGCACGCCGTAATATCTTACCAAATCTGAATTAAACCCGAATATGTGGCCCCTAGGGCATAACTCTTTGAAAAAAGCATATACCTTATATAAAGAGAATGGTAAATACTGTGTGGTCTAAAAATGAAAGGCCTTAATACTTATTCTTAATATAAATTTTGGGCAATTATCGGTCACAATATAATAAAAAATGTTCCACCTTTGCACTAGAGAGTAGTTTCATAGACCCCAGTAAACCGGGACTGACCATACAACACCCTTCACAAATACGACTGAACATGAGAAAAAATTCAATCTTGATGGCCCAGATGATTTAAATTGTTATTGGAGAGATCTACGGAAGGAATCACGATATTCCTTACAACAAAATTTCAGTGGCGGTTCTTTAATGGTCATGGGAGCATTTTGATTTGACATTTCCTAGTTGTCGAATGAATTCAATGGAGTACGTTTAAGTCTTGGAAGACAAATTATTGCCATTTTGGGAAAGCAGTAACAATGATAGACTCGTTTTTCAGCAGGGCAATTCGTCAGTTCATAAAAGTCGCCATACTTAAGAATGGTTAAAATCAAAAAATATTCCAATATGTGTAAATCGAATCAACTAGTCGAAATATATCGGTAGTCTTGGACAATAAAACTCTTGGGACAATAAAATTTCTCACAACATATTTGTGTAGGGCATATTGAAATATAGAAAAAATGTAAATGTGCCGGGAACGAAAAAATGCCCAAAATCTGCCCATGTCGTAAATTTTACATTATTTATGCCCACTTTTGGGCATAAATGCCCATTTTCGGCAACACTGTTTAGGAGCCGCCTGACTATCCACAAATATAGTAATCGGTTTAACGATCTCTGCATCTAGACTTTTTATCAATTCAGCTGCCTTGCAAATCGAAGAGTTCAGCTAAGAACTCCAGTTTCTCTCCAACTTGCCTAGCAACAAGCCTAGCCTTTCACAGTAGACGCCAGCCCCTGTACCTTCTTCCATCTTAGAATCGACTGTATAAAAAGTCACACCGTTCAGAGTGGGGTTACTTCGGTTCCAGTCGTCTATAACGATATCTACATCGTCAAATCTCAGAAATGGTGATATGTAGTCGCTTAATTTTACACGTTGATTTAATGTGATACCTTGTTCGTTCAGGATACATTTATGCCCGTAATTACAATTTCGCCAAAGGTTTCAGATAGGCTGTGCAAAGTTTTGTTAAAATCTGATAGTACGTTCGCATGATATTGCAAAATTATTTTCAGCAAAATTGTGGCCATTTTTTATGAAAGGTATCAAATGGAGTGAAACAATGGGTCTATTATTCGAACCTAATTTGAGTTCGAAAGAAATAGAGTAACTTCCGGTAATGTGGCCCACCATTTTCTTTTTTTGATATTGTGGGCGTACCAACGGTAAAAACTGAAAACAAATTGTATTCACAACATAGTAGATTTGTTGGCTAAATATATTCCAGGTCAAAAATTATATATATTTGTATATAAAAATGTTATTGCATTATATTTCAAAAAACTCTAAGCTGCAAATAAAAATAACTTGGCGTGTAATGTGGACCAGTATGTGTGGGTAATGAGTATCAGTAAGTTAAAAGTAGGTTGTGGTTTGGTTGCGATAAATTTCAATTTATTAGACTCTTCGGTAACAATGAATGGAAAAATATATGGGTTCATGGTTTGGAATAGCCTCCATTTAAGGGTACCGCCCCATTTGCGGTATTTTGAAGGTCCTTGCATCATTATCCAACCGAGGCACCTGTAATTTCGCATATCGAGTTTTCAGAGGATAGGATACCTCGTCACATATTAAATTCACCCACGTTTCGAACTCGTCCTCATGAAAAGGTCCCACTTTTTTATAGTGGTCCACATTACCCGACATTGAATATTTTTATTTAGAAATAATTATCGGCTTCAAAAATGAATAAAAATTAAAAATCGCCGACTGTAATTACAGCTAAACGTATATTTTTGTTAAAGAAAACAAGAAAAACCACATAAGTTCTTCATATTCGAGAAAAATAAAGTGTTGGACTATTTTGCAAAAACGTTCGACTATTGTGCTAAAAATGTTCAAATCACACTTTTACAATCAGAGCTACATTTTCTACTACTACATTTTCAACATTGCAATTATTTATTAAAAACCAATTTTGATGTTTCTTTTCACTAATAAGGAAAATATTTATCAAGGCAGCATTGACATATTTCAAGCATTTTCTTAGATATGGGGGGTGGTCCACATTTGACGCATGGTCCACATTATCGGATCAAATCGGACATTCCACTCGCATGATATTGATTTAATCAAAAGAAACCAATATTTCGATGAAGCACACTTTTGCCGCATTAACCATAAGACTGATGCTATAAAAATATGATATATGTTTATTTGCAGTTGTTATGGAGTTCTATGGATTTATAGGAGTTCTTTTGAAATTATCACTTGAAATTCATGGGCCTACTCCTTTTGGTACCTCCCCCAAACACCACATTTTTACTTCTTTAGTTTTATTTCAATGCCTAATTATTTGTATTTTTGTATTATTTCAGATTTCATACAATCATCATAACTGTATCGAAGTAATTCCTGTCGGCGTATTTACAATGTGACACATTGTATCATCTAGAGATGAATATCTGAAGACGTAGCTACAGAAAGTTGCAGGATTGTTACAAAAAATATAAATGATATATTATTCTCTGTTTGTATCGAAAATTATTTTGTTATTCACATTAAAAACAATATTTAATAAAAAAACAAATGTTATGTGTAGTATTGCAATACTGTAAATATACTGTTTATATTTTATAATAAAAAATATTTCAAAAAATATAAAAGAACATTGTTTTTATTTTCAAGAATTACTAAGGTATTGATTGCCTATATAAACATAAACACGTTTAAAAGATTTTGCACCTTCTCATTTTGTGTGCGCCTAAGAGTATGCTTTAGATTTACATTTCCTAAAAATCTCTGTTGTTATGAAAGAAATGTGGTTGGCAACACTCGACATACATTCGTTTTTGGCACCTTGAGATTTGTGTGATTTTCCATTTTCGAGTAATAGGCAAACAGAACGCAGTAGTAGCTATATTTTGGTACATAGTCAACTTCAAATGGCAATAACTCTGTATATATTCAACCGATTTCGAAGATTCTTTCAGATATGTATAGAGGAAAAAATTAATTTTATTTGTAAGTCGATATAAAATATAAATGATAATGTTTTGTAGGTGAAAATCATAAATATGTGTGGACTTCCGAAAACTGTATAAAATGTTAGATTTGAAAGCTTATGTAGGTATAACAGACAATTTGCATTATATTAAAAGCTAGTATTGCGCTAAATCTGCTTACGATGGTTCATTGTAGTGAAAATTTCCGAATTTAAAATAAAAAGTGTTATGTAAAGATTGCCGCCTATGATCATAAAAGTTCGTTTGAAATCTACGAATTTTTGTGTAAACAAATTAAAAAAGTGGAACAAACAGATTGTAGACATACTTTTCAGCTATTAAAATGGAATTGAACATGAAAATCGGATACTCTCTTACTACTTCCAAAGATGTCCAGATTTTTCAAATTTTATATAATTTTGAACACTGTCGGGGACTTGATGTGGTTTTTGTTGCACGTTATCTATGTAAGTATAAATTTTAAGGTCTTCTTCGCTTAGACTACGCACGATTCACCATTGTTGACCCTTTGTGGGGGATGTGCCAAAAGCAGCGGACCGATTGACCGAACTTAATATAGGTTTACTAAAAAATATTGTGATGCGCAAAGTTTGGATCAAAAAAAATATTCCATTTGCAAATTTTCAAAATGTTGACTCTTTGTGGGGGTGGTACATAAAGAAAAGAACTTATTACTCCCGTTTTCCGACTTGATCTTGGTTTGGTAAAAGTGTAACGACCATTGACAATTTTGTGTGTGCGGGGTGTGAACCAGAAATGTGGACCGATTTCACCAGCTATAAATTTGATTTAAGTTGAAAAGAAAATTTTTGATGTGAAAAGTTCATATCAAATCGGACACTCCATTTGATTTATATTGGTTAACAAATTTTCAAAATGTTGACCCAGTGTGGGGGTGGTACCGATGAAGGGACCCATCGGTATACTTCATCGGACTTCATCTAGTTTCCATTCGTTTTATATGACATTAGCAGATTTTCAAAATGTTGACGCTTTGTGAGGGAGGTACCGAAAGGTCCCTTCTTTGGACAAATTATTACGATGTATAAAGTTTCGATGAATATAGATGTCCACTCATGATACCTTACCCACAAAGGGATAAGCCCCATATACATACAGATATAGTGAAAATGTGCATAGTTTAGTTAAAATCGAATAGTCCATTCAGATGATCTTATAGAATTCATTTTAAACAAAATGTTGACCATTTTACCAGAAGGAGTGGACGAAATATTACCATGAGCAAAGATTGGATGAATTGGGTTATTCTCTTCGACAGTTATCATGTGCACCAGCCAGACCGACGCACGGATTGACATCGGTAAATCGACTCCAAATTATCTGAGACTGGTTTGGTTCAAGAACACATGAAATCTTAAACCGATATTTCGATACGACACCTTTGTTTCGTAGCAAAGAGTATATACCCTCATTACCCATAGTGGGAGGGTATAGAGAAAATATCATTCGCTTAATTTATAGTATTTAATTTTGTAAAAAGAGCCACTTAACATTCGTTCTTTAACAAACAAATGTAATTTTTACTAAAAATGAGCAAAGTTTGTATGGATATCGCTGAAACGTCGCTAAATTGATATATTCCTTGTGAATTTCTGATTATTACTTTACCATACTGTGGTACAGGGTAGTATGTCTTTGTGCATATGTTTGTAACAGGCAAAAGGGAACGAGATAAACACATGGTTCCTTTTGAGAATATGCATAGAATCACTTTCTGAGTCGATTTACGTATGTCCATCCGTCCGTCCATGTATTTTTGTCGCATTTATGATCCGATTTGGATGAAATTTGACATAGTTCACTTAATTGGCCCAAAGACGAACCCTATTGAAATTGGGAAAAATCGGTTCAGATTTAGATAAAGCTCCCATATATATTTTCGTCTGATTTAATGTAAATGGTCCACCAAAGCCCCTATATATCTTTCGATTTGCACGAAATTTGGCACAGTGTAATAAATTAGGTCTAGAATGATGTGTGTTAAGTTTCGTGAAATCGGTTCAGATTTAGATATAGCTTCTATATCTGACCAAATGAAAAATGTAGTATCGGTTGCAGAATGACATGTTTATGGATCCAATTTCATTTTACTGGTCCTTCAGAAATGCGACGTCTGTTAGGATTCATCTGTTGAATACACCCAAAGTGGTGAAGGGTATCATATAGTCGGCTCGTCCGACTTTACTACTTTCCTTACGGGTATAAATATAATAATATCGAATAAATTTGCATATAATATCCAGTCATACAATTTTAAGGTCCATAGCTCCATGAGTCCGTCCTTCAAATGTAGCTAAAATCGAAATACTCAATGCAAAAATGTTGACCGTTTCCAATGGGCAATATAAATATATTTTTACAGAATAATTTTCCCACCAGTGGCTAATTTTCCGCACAATTTTTAAGATTCATAGCTGTATGAGTCAGAAAATAACTTATTTTCCATTAAAAATAACATTCTGAAGGATGATAAGAACATAATCCATTAATTAGCCTTTGTGCAATAAATATCACTTAATACCATTTCCTGCAAGTATTGGCGAATATAGAACATTCATATCCCTCAATACTAGTTGAGTAAAGTGTCAACTATAACCCCCAACAAAAAATCAGTTGATTTGCTTCACATTCTTGAAGTTACCATTTTTAGTGAATTTCTCCTATAAATTATCACTGTTTCTAATAATTTTCGATTTGCAAAAAACTTTAAATTTTCCTCTAACCACTGCTGAAGAAATCGTCAAAATCGCTTAAGTACTTCCCGAGTTATTTCCATTTGAAGTTAACCTTCGTGCTAAATATAGCTGCTGTTCAGTTCTGTTCGCCTATTAGCTGAAAATGAAAAATCCATGTATTCGCATGTGGCAGAAAATGATTGTTTGCCTACCTTGCCATATTGTTTATAGAGGTTATGTGGTGGTTATGCTGAAATTCATAAAATTAAAGCATACTCTTAGGCGCTTGATAAAAGTATGCCATTAACCAGCCCTTTGTTGTTGGATTTCTTTTCTATAGGAAGAAGGCGGTTTATAGAGGTATTAGGATAAGTTTGAAGCGTTCAAATAAACGATATATATAAATTTCTGATTTTCTCTATAGAAAATATACATTTTTGTAGAAATTTTATGTATAGAACAAAAATTGGAGATCCATTTCCATTAAATATTACAAAGAGTATAAGGTATAAGTGTAGTCTTAAATCATTTTAAGGGGTTCATCCATAGGTATTTGAAAAAAAAAATATATATATATATAGAAACGTAGTAAAGAGACTCATATATTTAAAATGTGTATTTTGTAATATAAAATTTTATTTTCCTTTAACTATTTCATACTTACCTCAACCAGCTGAATGTTAATTAAATAATTTCATAATAAGTTTTTTAATGAAAATAGTTGTCTTTATTTAATTTATTTAAATTTGTTTTTTGTTTTAATATATATTGTTATCAACAGTTTAAAGTTTTCTTTGTTTTGTTTCTTTTATTATTTAGTTTTAATAGAAAAAAAAGAGACAAAAATTAGGCTACCTATTATTTATGTGGATTTGTTTCCAAAAATACGGTTATTACAGATTCTATTACATTTATGTATGCCAAAAAATAATAATTAAACTAAATTTTGTATATACGATATAAATGAAAATTGTTTTGCAAACAAATACTGAGGCATTGTTACAAACATCGAAACATTATCAACAAACAATCGTAAGGTTCCGACTCCTTTTTTCCGAGTTAAGAAACACAAAATGTTTCAGCCAAGTTTCCGTTGATAAATTTTTTTGTGGTATCCTGTGTTTTGTTTGTATCAAATTTGAATTCCTTTTTTGTGTTCTTTTGTTGAATGGGCGGCAGCAGTGTGTTGTATTGTTTTTTTTTAATTTTTAATCATTTGTTTTACTATTTATATAATAAATATGTATATTCTTTATTAATATTGAGTTGTGTTGGTTTTTCTTTTTTATTTTGAGAAAAAATTTTTTAAATAAATCTATTTGTATTTCAATATTTTTTTGTCACTTTGTTTTCTAATACAGTGCAAGATAATAAATAAAAAGTGTTATACTTCGTACTTGTATTGAGTTTTTGTTATTTTATTTTTTTTTTTAATATATATTTTTGGTTGTGAAAAAAGAATAAATATATAATCCTTTTTTGTTAAGAAACTCTTTTTTGTCTATTTCTTAAATGCTATTTTCAATTTGTTTTTTTTTTATATTTATATAAAGTTGATACCTTTTTCGGTTTTGTTTTGTAGTAATCAATTGATTTACTTTCAATATTTGGTTTCGTTTTTTTTAGTTAATTATTAATTTTTGTCAATTAATAAAATATTTTTTATTAGTTGTGGGGTTAATTTTTTTAAATAACATAAAGGGTGCATTAATTTTATAAGTTAAATATAGTTTTTTTAATTAAAAAGATATATTGCTTTGGAAATTTAATTTCAAATAAAAATTGTATATCAAATAAAAATTATATTAATGACAAAAATGTATTTTAGTTATATTATTAGGCCTCAGTTTTTGGAGAATACTCACCATTCACCAGACCATTGTTTTTTTAAAAATTATTTTTTGGAACGAGATCCTCTATTAAATGAATCTAACCAAAGGGTGTACTCGCTTCAAAACTGACCGAAATGATTATTAGTCCCCAACAGCAAAATTATAGAGAAGTTCTATTCTAAAATACATTTCTGAATAAATTGTTTTAAGTAATTCGAATTTCAAAATTTATAATACCCGTTTCAAATAACAAAGGTTGATTGACGCATGGTCTGTTCCAGAACTTTCAAGAATCTTCTAGTAATCGAAATTATTTTTTATTTTCCAATTGATACATTTCAAAATTTATATAAACTTCCGGGTATGGAACAGACCAATATTTGTGTTAAAAAAATTGGAATTTGTTATAATTAAATGTGCAGAATATGTAACAGATGCATTTTTTTATCAAACAATTTTATTTATTTAAAATTCTTATATAATTTAATTATGTAATTAATTATTTTTATTATTTTTGCACTAACAAAAAATAAAGATCAGTTGGCATAAGATCATAGGTGTGAGTTTGTGTGGTTTGTTATTTAAAAAAATTCAAATTGAGTTTTATAATTTCTTACTGTCAATTGTGGTAAATCAAAAATATTCGTAATTGAAAGAGAGGAAAATAAAAAAACTAATACAAGATTTTTGTTCTGCTTAGCAAAAAGAAGGTGACCCCTAAAATTGTTTTACAAAATTTTCTTTGTGTGTGATTTTTCTTTGTTACTAGATTTTTTTTAATTTTCTTTGTAACTGTTATACTTAAATAAGTTAAGTTTATTTTTCTTTTTTTCTTTTTTTGAAATATAATAATTTTCCTAGCAAAAAATATATTTTTATTTTGTATTTTTTGTAAGTTTTTTTTTTAATATTTTTTCTTTTTTTAATTTCACAAACATTTGTTTTTTGGTTTTGTTTCGTTTTCTTGCATTTTCCTTATATCATTTTGTTCTTTGAGGGTGGTTGTAATGATTGTTCTACTCTCGTTTCCCCAAATAATTCCAAATTTATCAAAACCAAACCAAAATCCTAATTCATAACCCTAACAAAAAACCCAACTCAATTCTCAAAATTTAATGGCCTTTCCCACCCACATAAATGTCGTTGGAGAAACATCCTGTTTTCGTTATAGGCCCTTCCTTCATCCATTCATGTTTTGTTTTTTTCTTCACACAACTTTATAAAACTATATTCTAATGATAATCGTAACTTCAAAACTAATTTTTGAAACTGGCATAACGGAAACGCAGAGAAAGATAATAGATAATAAACAATCAAAGAAGAACTTAATATAAACTACGATATCGTCATCATGAGGAGGTTTTACTTGCTCCCGAGGCAGGTGTCTGTTGTTGTGTTGAAAATCCGAAACGTGGTAGAAATAGACCAAACTTCGATTCGATGCCATTTAGTAAAGGTACTGCAGCGCGATAACCACCAATGTGATCCGGATTGATGCGTACATTGGATGTATCAATGGGTTTGGGCTTGTGCACTTCCGAACCGGTGGGATGTGAGCCACCGAAATCGACATAGAAGAGACGTTGCAACAATTCATAGGTAACTAGAGTAACACCAAATTGTGGTGATGAACGGAAGACACGGGCTGTGAAGAGAGAAAAAATTGTTTTGATTATTTTTTCTTTTTAGGAATGTGTTACAACTTACCGGCTGTTCCCTTCCAGAAGGCCCGAGGACCTTCTTCAGCCATAATTTTCTTGGTGGCATCCCAGACACCAGTGTATGTGGTCTGTCCAGAACGTGCCACAACTTGTAGACGGGTCTTTATCACATCGGCAGGAGTTACCAAGGAAGCAGCAGGTACACCAGCAATGGCACCAGCCGCCAACAATGTTAGAGGATGATTGTAGCTGTAAAGTATTACAAAATTATATAATTATTGTAAAATATACAAGTATAACATTTTTCTGGATTTTAAAATGATTGGAAAAACTGCGAGCAGTAATCTGAGGTATTCGCAGTCAAGATTTATATAGAATATCTATGTGGATCAGCTTCATTAGCAGACCAAAAACTTGTCAATTTGGCAAAACTTATACGGACTATCCTTCTGACCGATTTCGACACTACCTTGCCCTCTTTCGCAGAAGAGGATGGTGTCAAGGTCTTCGTAACATGCAGAGACCCCTTGGAGGATTCACTTCCCGGTTGTGATCAGACTACACAAAGTCTTCATCTTCTCATTTGGAGGGGTGACTGATTAAGAAGTAATTCGCAATGTCATACGGGGAGCTCCGAGAAAACTTGCGAATGAATTTGAGGTTTTTCTTAATAAGAATGAATTCCTTATCGGGTTTAAGGTTCCTTTTCCGTCCTATAAACCGGTTGCAGATATTAACCTCTCTCCGAGATTTCTTTAGCACGGACAAGTTTGTTTGTTGTTGTTGTAACAGTCCTACTGCTTCTACACAATGGACTGGGGATGACAGACGTTGACGGAATAAGTCTCTACTTCGAGACTACACTGAATGCCATGTAGATGGGACCTCCATCCTCGCTGGAGGTTGCGTTCTTTC